TGCAATAATGAAAATGATGATAATGATAATCATGACGATAATGACAATAATGCTGATAATCATAACAATAAATGAACAGAAAATGTGATAATAATAGAGTCCATTTATAATAAATAAATGCAAAACTAATAAATCACAAAAGTTGAAAAACGGCAAATATACCGTATTACAGCCTATGAGAGAAAGGTCGATAAAAACCTTTTTCTCTTTTAAATAATAAATATGATGATTTTAATATTAATCATGTAATTTATGATGATTTTTCAGAATTCCCTCATTATTAACAATAATGATGATAATTATGATGTGATTACAATGTATAATGAACATAATAAGAAAATGAATAATCATAATGATAATTTTGATAAAAATTTCTGCAATAATAGCAACCCTATGAAACTCTATTCTAATAATTTTTCATACTAATAATGACAATAGAAATAATAAATAAAATATCATTATTAATTGTTATTATAATGAGTATTATTGTCATTATTATTTTCTAAATTATCATTATTATTATTATCATTATAAAAATAGTATATTGATGAAAGTGACAGTAATAATTAGCAAAAATAATTATAACTGCAATAATAATGATGATAATGGGGAATCAATGAAGATATCGACTATAATGATGATATTCATATGAATAAATGACAATAAGGATGATAATGATGATAATAATAATCAGAGAGTCCATTTATAATGAAATAAAGACTAAAAATGCCAGAAGTCGAAAAAAACGACAAAATTAGCGTATTCACCCTTATGAGAGAAAGGTCCGAAAAAAAAACTTTTCGCTTTTAAATGGTAATTATGATGATTTTCATGATAATCTCCTTTTTTATAAACAATAATAATGATAATTATGATGATAATGACATAATAATGATGATAATAATAAAAAATGATAATTATAAAATGATAATTTTGATAATTACTGCAATAATAGCAATAACCGACCTCATTCTAATAATTTTATACTAATAATGACAATAGAAATAACAATAATTCATTATAATTGTTATTATAAATGAGTATTATTGTCATTATTATTTCTAAAATTATCATTATTGTTATTATAATTATAAAAATAGTTATAATGATGAAAATGACAGTAATGATTAGAATAATAATCATTATAACTGCAAATAATGATAATGATAGCAATGATAATAATGACGATAATAACTATAATGATGGTAATCATAGGAAATAATGACAATAAAGATGATAATAATCAATAGAGTCCATTTATAATGAAATGAAAGGCTAAACTAATAAGATCCCAGAAGTCGAAAAAACGAACAAATCTAGCGTATTACAGTGTTTGAGAGAAAGGTCTAAAAAAAATCTTTTTCACTTTTAAATGATAATTATGATGATTTTTAAACATTAACACAGGTAATGATAATGATTTTCATGATAATATCCGTTATTATAACGATAATGATACACTGATGATAATGACATTATAATTATGATGAAATAATAAATGATAATATAAATGATAATTTTGATAATTACTGCAATAAATAGCAATAATGAACTCTATTTCAAATAATTTTCATACTAATAATGACAATAGAAATAATATTATTATTGTTATTATAATGAGTATTATTGTCATTAGTAATTCTAAAAATATCATTATTGTTATTGTCATTATAAAAATAGTTATATAATGATGGAAAATTACAGTAATAATTAACATAATAATCATTATAACTGCAATAATGATAATGATAATAATGATAATCATGACGATAATGACTATAATGATGATAATCATAAAGAATAATGACAAAAAGGACGATAATGGTGATAATAATAATCATAGAGTCCATTTATAATGAAATAAAGGCTAAAATTAAAAATCCCATAAGTCGAAAAAAACGGCAAAATCAACCGTATTACAGCTTTTTGAGAGAAAGGTCGAAAAAAACTTTCTCGCTTTTAAAATGATAATTATTGATTATTTTAACGTGAATTCAGGTAATTATGATGATTTTCATGATAATGCCTTTTTTATTAAACAATAATGATGATAATTATGATGATAATGACAATAATAATGATGAGAATAATAAAAAATGATATTTATAATGATAATTTGATAATTACTGCAATAATAGCAATAATGATTCTATCTAATAATTTTTATACTAATAATGACAATAGAAATAATATTTTAATATCATTTATTATTGTTATTATAATAAGTATTATTGCCACTATAATTTTTCTAAAATTATCATTTTGTTATTTGTCATTATAAAAATCGTTATAAGGATAAAAATGACAGTAATAATTAGCATAATTAATCATTATAACTGCAAATAATGATTATGATAATAAGGATAAATCAAGACGAATAATGACTATAATGATGATAATCATAAGAATAATGACAGTAATGATGATAATGATGATAATAATAAACCATAGAGTCCATTTATGATGAAATAAAGGCTAAAAATAATAAAATTCCAAAAGTCGAAAAAACAGCAAAAATCTAGCGTATTACAGCCATTCTGAGAGAAAGGTTAAAAAACCCGCTTTTTCGCTTTTTGAATGATAATAATGATGATTTTAACATTAATTCAGGTAATTATGATGCTTTTTTAATGATAATGCCTTTATTATTAACAATAATGATGATAATTATGATGATAAGGACAATAAAATAATGATGACAATAATAATAAAATGATAATCATAAGGATAATTTTGATAATTTACTGGAATAATAGCAATAATTAACTCTATTCTAATATTTTTTATACTAATAAATGACAAAAGAAATAATAATTATATCATTATTATTGTTATTATAATGAGTATTATTCTCATTATTATTTCTAAAATTATCATTATTGTTATTATTATAAAAATAGTTATAATGATGGAAATGACAGTAATAATTAGCATAATAATCATTATAACTGCAATAATGATAATGATGTTAATGATAATCATGACGAAAATGACTATAATGATGATAATCATAAGAATAATGACAATAATGATGATAATAATAATCCTAGAGTCCATTTATAATGAAATAAAGGTAAAACTTAATAAAATCCCAAAAGTCGAAAAAAACGGCAAAATCTAGCGTATTACAGCCTTTGAGAGAGAAAGGTCGAAAAAAAGCTTTTTTCGCTTTTAATGATAATTATTATTTTAGCATGAATTTAAGTAATTATGATGATTTTTCATGATAATGCCTTCATTAATAATAATGATGATATCGATGATTTTTTCATGATAATGCCTTTATTAATAACAATAATGATAATAATTATGATGATAATGACAATAATAATGATGATAATAATAATAATAATGATAATCATATTGATAAATTTGATAATTACTGCAATAATAGCAATAATGAACTCTATTCTAATAATTTTCATACCAATAATGACAGTAGAAATAATAATAATATCATAATTCTTGTTATTGTCATTATTAATTCTAAAATATAATTATTGTTATTATCATTATAAAAATAGTTATAATGAAAATGACCGTAATAATTAGCATAATAATCATTATAATTGCAATAATGATAATGATAATAATGATAATCATGACGATAATAACTATAATGATGATAATCATAAGAATAATGACAAATAATGATGATAATAATGCTATATTAATAATCATAGAGTCCATTTATAATGAAATAAAGGCTAAAACTAATAAAATAGAAGTCGAAATAACGGCAAAATCTGCAGCCTTTTGAGAGAAAAGTCGAAAAAAAATTTTTTCGCGTTTAAATGATAATTATGATGAATTTATCAGAAATTCAGTAATTATTATGATTTTCATGATAATGCTTTTATTATTAACAATAATGATGATGATTATGATGATAAATGACAATAATAATGATGATAATAATAATAAAATGGTAATTATAATGATAATTTTTGATAATTACTGCAATATAGCAATAATGCTCTAAAATATACCAATCATGACAATAGAAATAATAATAATATCATTGTTATTGTTATTATAATGATTATTATGTCATTATTATTTCTAAAATTATTATTGTTATTATCATTATAAAAATAGTTTTAATGATGAAAATGACAGTAATACTTAGCATAATAATCATTATAACTGCAATAATGATAATGATAATCATGACGATAATGATGATAATCATAAGAATAATGATACAATATAATAATGACAATAATGATGATAATGATGATAATAATAATCATAGAGTCCATTTATAATGAAATAAAGGCTAAAACTAATAAAATTACAAAAGTCGAAAAAACGGGAAAATCTAGCGTATTACAGCCTTATGAGAGAAAGGTCGAAAAAACTTTTTCGCATTTAAATGATAATTATGATGATTTTATCATAAATTCAGGTAATTATGATAATGCCTTTATTAATAACAATAATGATGATAATGACAATAATAATGATAATAATAATAAAATGAGGATTATAATGATAATTTTGATAATTACTGCAATAATAGCAATAATTGAAATCTATTCTAATAATTTTCATACTAATAATGACAATAGAAATAATAATAATATTATTATTGTTGTTATAATGAGTATTATTGTCATTATTATTTTAAAAGTATCATTAATTGTTATTATCATTATAAAAATAGTTTATAATGATAAAAATGACAGTAATAATTAGCATAATAATCATAACTGCAATAATGATAATGATAATAATGATTATCATGACGATAATGACTATAATGATGATAATCATAAGAATAATGTCTATAATGATGATAATAATAATAAAATTAGTATTATAATGATACTTTGATAATTACTGCAAATAATAGCAATAATGACCTCTATTTTAATAATTTTCATTCTAATAATGACAATAGAAATAATAATATTATTATTATTGTTATTATAATGAGTATTAAGAATTCTATGATCGCTCAGCCTACGCTATCTCCCTTTTCACATCTACACACCTACACATCCAACATTTAGTACATGCATCCTGTACTTTCCTTCCACCCTTTTCTTACACAACGCCTACACCCACTTACACAACACACACGGTTCTCGAACCTACTAATCGGTTGGTGGCAGCATGCCGTAGGCCTGGAACCTTACATCTGTTCATTGCAGACGAATCTTTTCCCTTGAGCAAAAACTCCATATTCTCGGTTGAGCCCGGACTCAACCAGACAACTTAAGTCTACTGGGTCTACGCCCCATTACAACTGTCTTTTTGGTAGGCAGCGGTGGGAGAGAAGAGTTATTCTTTTTTATAATGTGTCTGGTCAAGCCTTTGTGCAAGTCTATCGTAAGCTAAGTAACGGGTTGTAGAGCAAGTGCTGGGACGCAAAAATGCCTCGCACACGCAATACCGTCCAAGGAGAACCCACTAATGAGTGCTCGGGATCCTCTGCTAACACCCTTTTTGAGGGCCCCGAGTTTCATCGAGGAGATAACGCTCAATCTTTGACTTTGAGGCAAAGGCTAGAGCCCCGTGACCATCTCTCGCTCTCGAGGTATGGGGAGCTGGTGGACAAATTCGAACGGCTGAATTCTCGGTTCAGTACCCTGGAAGGGCAGTACGCCAATATCGTGCGATTACTGGAGCCCAGGGCATCTGAACCACACACTCGTTCACCAGCTGCAGCCTCTGCATCGTAGGTAGAAGTGGAGGTGCATGCGGTCACGACTGACCACTCGTCTCAGCGAGCGCCCGTCAACCCGCGTCCCTTAGATCAAGGTATAACCCTGCATGGCCCGATTCCGCCTTACCGGGCAGAGGTCCCAGCTAGCCAGCCTCTTCGGAGGAATCAGGAATTGGAAATATGGTTGCGGCACATTAAGCAAGCCCATACTTATGGCACGGATGATGCTCTGATCCGCGCCGCCCATGGTAGCTGTAGGGGGACGGCGGATATAGTCGTTAACTCCCCAGTTTTTGACGGGATTGGGACCTGGGACGAGTTTAAGGAAACCCTTCGACAACGTCTCCGGGGGACGTGCTCGTCGATGGAGTACCTACGGCATTTGGGGTCGTACGTACTCGGCGACACTTCCCCTAGGGACTTCTATCTCGCGATCGAGACCGTAGTATACCAAGGCATGCGCGACTATCCTGGTGAACTTGGGCCAGCTGAACCTCTGATGAGGAGGACTTTTCTCCAGGACTCCCGCCTGGCTGAGGAAAAAGCTCCTGTTGATAGAGGATCAGCCACTTTACCGGGTGGTCGAAGCAGCCCAAAAAGTCTGGCACCATCGGCACTATGCCGGGCGGGTAGAGAAACCATTGGTCAGTTTCTCGAGCGAGGCAGGGCCTAAACCTCGCTCTTCTACGCCTCGCGAGGGTCGATCTCCGGTTGATCCCCTAGCAGAGTTACCCGTACGCACTCGAGAACCCCGACGCTGGTGTCCCTACCATCAGGTGACTACGCATGACGCCTCCGAGTGTCGTGCGGTGCGAGAGGGTAATCAGTGCACCCGGTGTGGCCGCCGAGGGCATGTGGCTGGGCGGTGCTTTTTTCGGGCAGAACTGTAGGGCACCGCCCGACAGAACACAACCGCAACCACAACGAGCCACTGCAGGGACAATGATGATGCGGGCGCCGAGGGGAGCGACAGTTCCACGGAACCGGAGCTTCCCGAGGCACAGATTCAGGCGCTGTTGAATTGTGTGGTTGCTGGGACTAAGGTCTTAGCCTTTCTTGACTCGGGAAGTGAGGCAACGGTGGTGAAGGAGTCTTGTTTCAGGAGGATTTCCAACACCCCGCTCTCACTGCACCCACGCGGCCTTAGGGGGGCATCTGGGGCCGCGTTGGACATCAAGGGCAGGGCAACCCTTGAGTTTAAATTTTTCCGAGCTTGTAGTGCCGGCACTCGTGTTCGTGGTGAACGACGACACTAGGTTTCCAGCAGAGGTGCTGATAGGCGTGGACCTGCTGCGGAGGTTTTAAGTTGAACCTCTCCCCTGTTTCAGGGGCCAGCTCTGCTAGTTTTAATGGAGTCCGACTCGGGGTTTCGTTCTCGGGTGCCGGGTCCCTCGGCATCCTGACATACCACGAGCCAGAGGCCGTGCTACGTTGCTGTAGTGAGCGGCGGAGACCGGGAAGGTGCGATGAGATGCGCGCGGAGAGTCACCTGTCCCCCTCGGCGGGGGCGATTCGTGCGATGCCTGTGAACGGCTTGAAGGGCGGACTGGCTTGTGTTGAGAGCGACACAGCCAAGGTCCTGGTACCTCGCTTGTTGGTGGACCTCTCCCAACCGAGGTTGACGTTTGGGTCGTCAACGATCAGACAGTTCCGGTTGAGATCGAGCAAGGATTCGTCCTCTGCTATGCGGCGATCGTGGAGGTTTCACTTGATCGTCTCGAATACGACGCGGAATCCATGGACCAGGATTCCGGCGTCAACCCGGAAGATGTGGGCTCATCCTCCGGGGGAGCTTTAGACATGGCTTCTTCGACTCCCATCGATGATGGAAGCGAACCGGATAGTCTGATGGCGGACTTGAGGACAGGTTTGATTTTGTACACGGACTTAATGATTTTGGCTTATAACACGGACGAGTTTGAGGTTTTCCCGGTATGTTCTTTCGAGAACGAGGAACTCCCCTCATCAGCAGGGGCAGTTGGTGTTCCCCGGGTGGATCTTGCTCACCTGTCGTCAGTCCAACGTGAACAACTTGTCCAGGTACTTGATCGTTACCCGATCTGTTCATCGAAGGGCTGCCTCCAGGTGTGGTGCCACACATGAAGCATAAAATCAAAACCACGGACGACCAACCCGTCCGTGTGAAACAGTGGCGCCTCCCGAGAGTACGCAGCAGTACATCCGTGCGGAGGGCGACAAGATGCTTTCTTGCTCACCATGGCTCTCTCCCGTTGTGCTAGTGAAAAAGAAGGATGGTTCGACATGCTTTTGCGTTGACTACCGTGCTTTGAACGCGAAAACAGTTTCAGATGCGTATCCCATACCCAGGATGGACGCTGCCATTGATCAGCTGGCGAGTAAATCTTGGTTTAGTGTCCTCGACGCTAAAAGCGCATACTGGACTGTTGAGGTGGATGAGAGGGACCGAGAAAAGACAGCTTTCTCGGACGGCGCCCGTCTGTTTCAGTTTTCGCGTATGCCCTTTGGATTGACGACGGCCCCGTCAACTTTTCAGAGGGCTATCGCCGCCGTTCTCAACCCGGTGTTGGGCCACCACGCGCTGGCATATCTTGACGACGTCGTCATATACAATGCAGGGTTTGAGCAGCACCTATCTCACCTCGATGCCGTGTTGCAGTTGCTCGCTGGAGCAGGGTTCAGGCTTAACCTTTCAAAGTGTCGCTTCGCGACCGACACTTTTCGTTTTTTGGATTACACCGGATGGTGTTTTGCCTGACCCTGACAAGGTTACAGTGATACGAGCCATAAAGACACCACGTAACCAACGCCGTTCGCCAGTTCTTGGAGCAACTGGTGCCCAATTACGCAAGGGTCGCATCTCCTTTGACTCGGCTCCTGAAAAAAGATACAAAATTTTCATGGGCAAACCTCAGCAGGAGGCTTTTGAACGGCTTAAGCAGGCGCTTGCCACCGCGCCTTGCTTGATCCAACCAAATTTTGAGAAGCCCTTTGAGCTTCACACCGATGCTTCAGGCACGGCGATCGGTGCTTGCCTTATGCAGCTGGATAAGGTTGGGGAACTCCACCCTGTTGCATATTTTTCTCGGAAGCTTAGGGATGCCGAGACCAGGTACCCGACCATCGATCTGGAAGCCCTTGCTGTTGTCGAGAGCACTAGGCATTATCACCCTTACCTTTATGGGAGACGATTCCGTATCTTTACAGATCACAGGCCGTTGGTATCAGTCTTCCGCAAGCCAACTGCCTCGGTAAGGATGACGCGATGGGCTCACGAACTGACATTTTACGACTTCGAGCTTCTTTATAAGCCGGGTCGGGTCCACCACGTCCCGGACTTGCTCAGTCGTCAGATCGCAGCCATTGCTGACCTTGATAGCAACCATGGTGGAGCGTCATCAGAGAACCAACTTCGGGACCGAGTCCGAATGAATTCTGCTTCAGCTCGTGATCCAAGGTCGCTGCGCGGCGCTGCTTTGGATGCGTCCATGGCCGTCCGCCGGACATCGGGGCGTCCACAGGACGTATCAGCGACTAAGGGATCCTTTTTACTTTCCCGGGATGTTGGCCGCATCCCGGAGATATGTCGCATCATGCACGGCATGTCAATGGAGGAAAGGGGCGATCGCCCGAACCCCACTACAGTCCATGCCGGACGTCGCGGAGCCCTTCGAGCGGGTCTCCGTGGATATCCTCACTCTTACCCCTTCGGCGCGTGGAAACAAGTACGTCCTTGTGCTGATTGACCATCTTACCCGGTTTGTCGAGCTGTTCCCGTTGGCATCGAAGGACGCCCAAACCGTAGCAGACGTGTTTCTTGCGGAATTCGTTACTCGGTACGGTCCCCCGCGACCTGTTATCAGATAACGGCCTTGAATTCGCAATCGTCTCCTTTCTGACATCTGTCATCACCTCCAGGTGAAGTCGCTCTTCACCACAGTCTACCATCCGCAAGCCAAGTATGGTGGAGAGGGTGAATCGGGTGGTCAAGGACGCCCTGAGCATGCTCCAAATGGATGATCCTGATTGTTGGGCGATCTATTACCGTATGTGAGGTTTGCCATCAATTCCTCCATACACCGGAGCGTAAACGACGTCCCTTGTACCTTCTCACAGGTCGGGACAGTCATTTTCCGCTCGTGGGATCAAACCACGTAATCTATGGCGAAGGGCCTTGCCCTCATTAACATCGAAACTCCGAGCAGCTCGGGTGGCCGCTGGTGAGGCCGCCCGAAAGGCTCGTGAGCGTTGGACCGCCGATCACGATCGAACACGGCGGGCTCGACCGCGGGAGTATAACGAGGGGATCTGGTCTTTTGTGCATCGCAGCGTTATCCTGCACCCCAGTCACGGACTCAGACCCCTGGGTCCCGA